GAATAGTTAGGATGGGAAAGGACCTTGAGATCATCCAGTTCCAACCCCCCTGCCATGGACAGGGATGCCTCACACATGCCTCACACCATACCATGTTGCCCAAGGCTCTGTCCAGCCTGGCCTTGAACGCTGCCAGGGATGGAGCATTCACAACTTCCCTGGACACCCTCACAGTAAAGAACTTCTTCCTTAAATCTAACCTGAACTTCCTCTGTTTAAGTCTGAACCCATCACCCCATGTCCTATCACTCCAGTCCCTGATGAAGAGTCCCTCCCCAGCATCCTTGTAGCCCCCTTCAGACACTGGAAGCTGCTCTGAGGTCTCCACGCAGCTTCTCTTCTCCAGGCTGAACAGCCCCACTGTTCTCAGCCTGTCTCCATACAGGAGGTGCTCCAGCCCCTGATCATCCTCATGTCCTCCTCTGGACCTGCTCCAACAGCTACATGTCCTTCTGATGTTGAGGACACCAGAACTGCCACAAGACACAAATCAATATGAAACAAAACTTTACTGGGGCTTTTGGAACAGTGTGGTCCCAAAAGTGTATGGCTGGCTTGCAAGTCTTGTGGCTTTTTTTCTCATTTCCCCCCCCCCCACTTTTTTTTTGTGTTTTTGTTTGGTTTTTTTTTGAGATAATCTCATTATATTTCTGGGAATTGTGAATGTTTAGGTTTGGAATATTTTCTGATTTCAACAATCTTTGCAGGAAATATGCCTGCAATTAGAATGAATATCCCAAATGAAATCACCTCTGTAGCAAGCAGGGCTTTCCCAGCCACGGGGCCATCCATCTCAGCCTGCAGCCATATAGTCATTATAAGGCGATGTGGGTTTTGAGAGGAAAACATTTACCAAGAAGGGAAATGACAGCACTTCTCAGGGTTAAAAGAAATGTATGTAAATAAAGATACCCTCTGCTTCCATAACCCAATTACAACATTGATGTGCGTGATCTGAAAATTATATGCTGTGAAAATAACACAGCATTACAGATCAGCATCTGACTGGCTCTCCTTGATTTCAGACACATGTAGGATAATTGCATGCTCCAACATAGATCTTAATTTGTATTGTTCCAGAAGAAAAGCCTTTATTTCTGTAAAGCAATTCTAATCCTAGGGCATTAAATAAACAAAAGCCTTTGAGGGAGGCAGAGATAGCAGCAGCTCCACTGGGTGAAAATGGACCTGCATAAGAGACCTGTTCTTGTTCCCCAAAGCACTCTCCTAGAGGCAGTGCCTGGCCTGTTTCTTCGTGTGGTAGGGAGCAGTAGTGTTTGGCTGGTAGAAGGCCCATGGTATGAATAAGGTTTGGGAAAAGAATGGTCTGTATCATACTGGCCAATGCCAAATTGCAAAGTGAAAATGCTGTGATAGAAGGCGTGAGTGTGGTATTTGCCAGGCATTCCATGAGAGAACCTGCACAGGCTCAGTCCCAGGAGCATCACTAGGAAGCTTTTAAATCCCTCCAGGGATGGTGACTGCAGCATTGCCCTGGGCAGCCTGTTCCAATGCCTGACCACCTTCTAAGTGAAGAAATTTTCCCTAATCTCCAGTCTAAACCTCCCCTGGTGCATCTTGAGGCCGTTTCCTCTTGTCCCGTCCCTAGTTCCTGACCCCACATTGCTTCACCCTCCTTTCATGTTGCCAGCTTGCTGAGGCTGAAGGGGTGTTTTAAATGGAAGAATAAGAGAATTGGTTTGTGCTATTGCTATCAGATACCACAGTAAAGCTGAGAAAGTCTCTTCTGTAGCTTATTCACTTCCTGTGGTAATTTTGCAGGCAGCATTACATGACCATAGCTGAGCTATTATTTTATTTCCAATTCTGGATAGCACTGTGTATTTTCTGCCTTGTGGCAAAGAAAACCTGGAGCAATGAAATGCATGAACCTGATGGTTTCTGAACATTGTCGATGCTGCCAAATTACACCTTTTGGTGAACAAGCTGAAAGTTCAGTGTGTTCCCTGATCTTTAAAGCCTTTTAAAGCACCACCATCCCCTTCCCCAGCTGAGCCTGGCTGTGCCGTTAATGTATGACAAATCTGGGAATGACTCATCAGCTGTTTGCTACTGTGCACACGTTGGATGTTCGTTGCCCTCGCTGTACAAGCAGTTGCAGATCGAGCCTGCAGTCGTGAGTCAAGCTGATGTTTTGAAGCCAGGGAGTGTTGTGGGGAAAATGAACGTGTGCCGGTGGTACCGTGTGCTGACAAAAGGCTGATCCTTCCAGCGGCTCAGGAGAGAAGCTGCTGCTTAAGAAGCTGCTGCATTTTGAACTCAGGAGAAAGAAAACATCCCAAGAACCTAATAGGAATATTCAGTTCACTGTTTTTACAGACAGGCCTGCCTCAGTTCGAATGTTCCAGCCTTGAAAGCACAGGTTGAGCTCAGTTAGCTGAAAGATTCCATTGTAATTCAAATTAAAGGAATAATTTGAACAAATAACTCTGAAGTTGCTGCCTGCTTAAGCACTGTCAAGCACCAAGGCAGGACTTGCAGCTGCCTGAATGTGTCTTTCCATCTCCTTTGAGCATTCTACTTCCTTGCTGCGTGGAAAGCAACATGATAAGTTAACATAACCATGGCAGGGAGTGTTGTTTTGCTACATGTTGAAGCAGAGGTGAGGTGGGACCTTACGGCAGGAGGGGTAGACCTCCTTCCCTTGGAGAGTTACGGAACTTGCTCAAAAGTGAGCAAGACAATGGGATATTGCTGCGAGGTGCAGGTAGCAGCAAGGGATGGCACCATTTCCCATTGATGGCTTGGAATCATGTATATTTTTGTTGTCTCACAGAATATTATGGAGGTGGCTGGGAAGAACAAGCTGCCAGCACAGCTGCAATGGATGGAAAGCGGTACTGTTCAGAGGGGACAGGGAAACAACACAGAGCTTCACCAGGTGCAGGATGAGGCCTGTGCTTTCTAATGCATTGCCTTACCTTGGAATGTAACTGATCATTTCCTACTTTCTGGTTCCCAAGAGAACGCTCTGTGATCAAGGCTGGCTGCAAATGGTGACGAACTGTTTGAACTCGATCCTCTTTGAACTGTGCAACCTCTGAGGAAAGCTGGGGAAGTTTAGAGAGGAAACCAGCTTATCTTTTCCTTCTTGCTGGATGGATGCCCTTATTTTGTTTCAGATCCTTCAGCTTTAGTTTTCCTATGGAAGTGTTACTTATTCAGCTTTCAAATATTTGGTCAGCTTATTAATTTTTCATATGCAGGAGCTTTGAATATTTCTCTTTGAAATGCCAAAACTAAGCTCTTTTTTCTTCTTCTCTGGGCAGTGTATTTGGTTCTCCAGCTATGACCTTCTCCCAAAGGCTGCTTAGAAAAATAGCCAAGGACAGATTCTCCAGCTTGTGGACGTCTGGTGGGAGCGCTGTAAGTGATGAAAAAGGTCCCGTTGCAGATACTAAAAGGGATGAAATATTTAGCATGTGAAGGAGAACATCCAAGATCACAGTGGTCAGAGGAGAAAACCACGTGGGCTCTTTGTTTGCTGTAATAGTTATTGTTTGAATTCCTGCTGTTACTATTGCTTTACCCTCTGGTGTTGCTTTACCAGGAACAGGTGTTTTACTTTTTAGGGCAAAAGATGCTAAAATGAACTAAATGTGGAGTTTATTGCTTTGTTTCTTGTATGTAGTATTTTTCTTGCTTTACTTCAGGCTTGCTTCCATTTTTTTTTCCTGTATGATGAATGTAGGAACAGCACTAGCATGGGCTTGTTCTCCTTGCCATGCTCCAGACCATATACTACCTCTTCCTTACAAACTTCTTCTGGATGAATTTACCCTTTCCAACTTCTCCAGCCTTCATTCAATATTAGTACTTTCTTTTTCTTTAGTTGTTCTTTATCAGAGTAGTTTTATCTCACCCACCATCTTCCATTTCACTGCTCTTACCAAGTTTCATATCATAGAATCATAGAGTAGTAACGGAAAGGAAAGGACCTTAAGATCATCCAGTTCCAGCCCCCCTGCCATGGGCAGGGACACCTCACACTAAACCATGTCACCCAAGGCTCTGTCCAACCTGGCCTTGAACACCGCCAGGGATGGAGCATTCACAACCTCCCTGGGCAACCCATTCCAGTGCCTCACCACCCTCACAGGAAAGAATTTCTTCCTTATATCCAATCTAAACTTCCCCTGTTTAAGTTTGAACCCGTTACCCCTTGTCCTATCACTACAGTCCCTAATGAAGAGTCCCTCCCCCACATCCCTATAGCCCCCCTTCAGATGCTGGAAGCTGCTCTGAGGTCTCCATGCAGTCTTCTCTTCTCCAGGCTGAACAGCCCCAACTTTCTCATTCTCCTCTTTGAGTTCAGATCTGGTGGCTGCAGGCTCCAGGCTCCAGCTGCCTCATACAGTGAGTAAATGAAGGCTGTCTCTCATTACATGGTACGCCTCGCCTTTTCCTCTGCTCCCCACAACCTGCTCCTCCAGGCAATTCATTTCACACATCTTTGTTGAGAACAGAGTTGTTGAGAACTGTATTGTAGATCAGTGCTTATTTATTGACTTGTGTCTTGTTATTATTTTGATAGACGGGTTTTGGTGTACTGCATACCCACCCCAGCTCTTCTCTCTTGCTGGTTTATTACCTCTGTGTGGTGTTTCTCAACACTCCAGATGGTGACTGAGCTGTGAATGCAGGGCAAACCATGCCTCACAGAAAGCAGTAGGATACTGGTGGTTGATATAAGGCAGAAGAATACCAAGGGCATCTTTGTACATAAACAAGATGTCTAAGAAGCTTTCTGAAAGTGCCTGTGTGAGTTAATATACCAGTTCATGTCTGTGTTCAAAAGTATTTGGGAGCTTCAAATCTTTCAATTGTTTATGTGATTTTTTTTTTTTTTTGCTTGTACTTGGTTATTCTTTAAAATTAGACAAGACCAGAGGCTCATGATATGCATTTGAAGGAGCTGATGTAAACCTGAATACATTCCCTGATAGGGCTTTTCACACCAACAGCATAGAAACTGAGGAAGAAACTGAGGAAGTGGAAACAAAGCTGCAGCTCCAAGCACGTAAACAGAGCAGAGGGAGTCCAAGGTATCCAGCTTGTTTTGGTGTGACACATTTGTCTTGGGTTCAGCTGATAACACCACTGATAGCACCGATGTTTTCAGACTGAAAGTCAAAACAACAGCACTGTACCAGCTACTAAGAAGGAGAAAAATGACTGCTACTGCTGAACCCAGGACAGCATTGCAATAGTGATTGCCAGCCCTGAAGAGAAATTCTTTGATATACTGTGTTTTGCTTGTTGTTTTCCCAAGTTCCTGAGCTGTCCCCATCAGTGCAGCTCTGTGGAGCAGGCTGTGCTTTCCTTGTGCTGGTGAAGGAAGAGAGTGTGAAAACATCCACCTCTGAAACTCCATCACACTGCAAAACAACTGTGTCAGAATTTATAGTGAATACCTGCAAATTCTGGCAACATACCAGGAGATCTAATACCATCCCAGCACAACAGAAATTTAGCATGGAGGCACAGGCTTTACTGGGCTATAATTGGTTCATATTGCTCCACTTTTACAATCCTGCATTCAAATACATTCTCACTGAAAAAGAAACTGATGAATCTTCAATACCAGGAGAGCTTGAGACCATCAACAGACTTTTAATGAGTCTCAGGCTGCATTTCTGCTCTTGCAGTGCTGCTAAAACATGGTCTTGCCCAGGGGGACACTCAGGAGCCAATACAGCCACTTAGAGAAAGAAGTTTGTGGGACCAGTGGAGCAAAGTATGGAAAACCCAGTGCTTAAAAACCCCACTGTGTATTCAGAGAACAGCCTGAAGGAGTTGGCAATGACACAGCACAGGAAAATCAGGCTTTCAAAAGGGAATACTGTGTGTACGCTGCAGCTAGTGGGCTGGAGCCTCCGTAGAGGGGTCTGTCATTGTGAAGCTTTGTGCAGGGGTTGTGAGGGCAGAGGTGGAAATACCAACTCATAAGTAGTTCCAGAAGGGCTACATTATTCTTACATGGCATATCAGTGAATGGCACTTAACTGTGGACAGGTGTGTGCACAGAAATACAAGTTTGTGTAATCACATTGCAGCCAAAGAACTCAGGTGCTGTGGCAATAGAAGAAACAGATTCAGTCCAGCAACGCTGTATGCGAGATACAGTACTTGTGGGCCACGTCAGTGCTTTACAGCACTCCTCTGGTGAAAACTTTAGCTCATAGCAAAAGATATGGTTGACATAAACGTGATTCTATGACTTTAAGGCCCTATCTTTTAGTTTTTCTAATAATTTTAAATGGCTCTTACATTGTGTTTAATCTCACTGTATCTTGCTGGTTTGTGGGGCTGTGTGGTGCTGTTCAGTTTGTGCATGTTTGGAACCAGAGAAAGCATGAGGAAGATTCCCCAGCACAGAGCTGTAGATGAGTCTTGAGGTTCTGTTTCCTCCTGACTACCACAAACACTTCAGCACCTTCATTTGGCTTTCCAGATACGGAGACATTATTGCAATTCATGTTGTACATTTGTTGATGTACAACAGTGTTGTACAGCAAACGTTGTACATTTGTTTACAGCCTAAACAAAAAGTCCCATGCATTCCGTTTTTAGAGCCCAAACCATACAAGTGGCTAGTAGCTTGGTTGACACTCTGGATCCATGAGGTAAGTCATAGAGCCCAGCCTGGTTTGGGTTGGAAGAGACCTTAAAGCTCATCCAGCTCCAACCCCTGCCACGGGCAGGGACCCCTTCCACTAGAGCAGCTTGCTCCAAGGTCCTGTGTCCAACCTGGCCTTGAACACTGCCAGGGATGGGGCAGCCACAGCTGCTCTGGGCACCCTGTGCCAGCGCCTCAGCACCCTCACAGGGAAGAGCTTCTGCCTAATACCTAACATGAGCTTCCTTGTTTAAGTCAGCTCACAGACAATGCTGCATCAGCCACAGCTACAATCAGACCCTTTCTCACAAAGTGGCTTGTCTGTCTAGACAGCAAAATGCTTTGAATCTCAGTAAACTATACTAGAATTCCCAGAAAAAAAGTCTGAATCATTTTCCTGCTCTTTTATGAATTCAGATATCATTCCTGTTTTAATTCACCTATTCCCACCTAATGCTTAATTAAGGCAGGTATTCTGGGGTAGCTGGTTTTAATTTCCTTCTAGCTGTGCTTCAATTTCTGTTGTTGCTTCACTGCTGATTTTACTTTTGCAATTGATTGGGAAGGTTTAGGCTTCCTTTAATGTTAGTCTTTAAATACTCGCTCACAACAGGGACCCTCAAATGCTTATTATATTGGACTGCATGATGAGAAACAGTCTGCAGTGCCAGATCTGGTGGGTGATCTCCTCCTGCTGTATATATCTCCACACAGGCACAGATGCTTTCAGTGGTTTTGCTACTTGTATTACATTACCATTGTTATAATTAGTTCCTTCTTTACAAATCTCCCAGATAGCACAGGAGCCACCCAAAGTAGCCATCAAGAAAAGATTGTTTCCTTGATAGCTGTATCAAATGGCTCTGTCTCTCTGGCACAGTAAGCTACTCAGCAGTGCCACCACTCAGGCAGCTCTTTTTTCCCTGTGAATATGGAGTAGGAATGAATTGAGGCACATGGAGCTGTATTATTAACCTGCCATGTCATCATAGTCCAGTGATTACCAGGTCCCTGTCAGCAAATTCAGTGTGCAACATGCTGACTAAAATACAAATGGGGAAGTATAACTCAAGCAACCCAAGGAAAGTTACCTTGGAAATAGTTAAAAAACAAAGGAAAATAAGAATGGGTGCTGCGATTAAGGTAACGTTGTTAACTTGTGATAGTATGGCGTATTTTTCAGCTTCTCTTCATCAAAATGACATCTACTGTAATTTCATCAGGGACTGTAGTGATATGTCAAGGGGAAATGGGTTTAAGTAACAGGAGAAGTTCAGGTTAGATACAAGAAGAAGTTCTTCCCTGTGAGGGTGCTGAGGCGCTGGCACAGGGTGCCCAGAGAAGCTGTGGCTGCCCCATCCCTGGCAGTGTTCAAGGCCAGGCTGGACAAAGCCTTGGATGACATGGTCTGTTGTCCAGGGCATTAGAACTGGAGGAGCTTTACGGTCCTTTCCAACCCAAACCATTCTATGCTTCCATGACTATTATGAATAGTCACAACAAACCTGATTGAAGAAGCAAATGAAATGCACAGCGATAGTTTTTTTCCTATCAAACCACTTGGTTTAACAGCATGTATCTAAGCCACCCTCAGTTCAGGGTCAACACTGCCCCAGTCCTTAAAAAGCACCATCAAGGGCTCATGGCCTTTCCCCCAGGGGGATGAATGGGACTTAAGCAGTGCTGAGCACCAGTCAGTGGTGTCCCAGCTCAAGGCCAAGGGTTCATCCTGGTTTGCAGTGGTTCAGTGAGGGAAAGATGTATTAGGCCATGAAGCTGCAATACTTGGCAGTAAAACAGGGAAAAAAAAAACATTGGTATAGAGAACACATTCTCAAACCTTGGTTGAATAGCTTCAATTTTTAACAGAACTTGGGCTAGGGAAAGCAAGACGTTTATTAAGAATTGTTGTCTTGGCTTTGTTTTTAGCCTTTTCCCTTCATTGTGGTGTCTCGAATGGCAAACTCAAAGGCAAATATGTCATTTTATATTAAACCCTTGTTCAGCCAATGGTCCAGACTCTTCCCTGGGGTGACTTTCATAGCTTTATGCCAGGAACAAATTTGATTAGTCTCAAGGAAGGATAAAAATCCCCCAAGGTCTGAGGCCTGTTACCTCAGTGTTATACTCATTTGCAACTCCTTCAAGGTCTCTCCTTCCTTAACGGTGCTTTGGAAGGTTCAGACCTGGGATGAAGATGACAGCTCCCTGCTCTGAGAAGGTCTTTTTGTCTTGTGGATGGTTTTTTCACCACGTGGAAGTTAAGAGCACTGTTTCCCCTTTAGTCTCCACAGCCCTGTATGGATATGAGCGTTCCCCTTTCTTTAGTTTGAAAATGGGTTAGCTTTGACATCTGAACCTGAATTACGCCAACGGGTAACGATTCAGCAGTCTTGCTACTAAGGCCCACATCATTCACACCAGTGTCAATAGTATCTCCACAACTTCCCCTTCAGAAGGGGAAGAAATGTCCTGATGCAGTGAAATCCCAGTAGGCTCACCACTAAACCCTTGCAGACTTTAACAGCCAAAAGGGAGCTGTCTTGCTGTGTTTCTTGCATGCTTTGTGTTCCCAAACCTGACTGCAGCAAAAATGTGGCACTTGACCTTTTGCTGTTTCACGCCTCTGTCTGTGAAGCTGCCAGGTTGTCTGGAGAGGAACCCAGGAAGCTTCTTGTGTTTGTCAGAGATGCAGCCAGGCTGGGAGATGCAGCACTGGAATATTTATGAATACTTGAGAATATTCTCATCTGAGTCTGGGTTCTTTTCCATTCCCATCATCAACTGAGCAGAGCCTGGAGATAGCGGTTTGTAGTGAAGCTGTTGTTGGAAAACAGAGTATGTAAGCAGTAGGGGAGAAGTGTAAAGCAAAAGGGTTTGTTTGATGCTTGTGAAATACTGGAATAAATTGCAGTGCGTTGTGTCTGCGTGCGTAGGAAGATACAAATAGTGCAGTCACACCAGGCAGTCCTCCTTGTGATTCTGATGGGGGACAAGGATGGGAGCAAAGGGGGAGGTACTTCAGGCTCATCACCAAAGACCTGCTCTCTTCCTGCTAAACCAAATGTCAGTCTGGATGTATGAGAACACTGAAGGGGAACTGCAGAACATCTTAATTTCTCAAATTAATCTCCTTAAGATTTAATTAGCGAGTGCCTTGCTGCAAGTGAAGAGGATTGCCTACCTTGCAGCTGAACCCAAGTAAGGAAGCAGAGCATCAGTGCAAGTAGGAAGATGCTTACCTCACAGCTGAGGCTTTGCTAAATACACCAAAGGGACCCAGGAGCTTGCTCTTCAGGGTCATTAAAGAGTTCAACCCCTATCAGGAATGAACCCAATGGTTGCAAATTCCTGTCCCAGTTCCTACAGGGATGTAGGTAGAGTAAGTCTGATCCGTAACAAGAATCATGGAACTACAGACCCCCCCTAGCTTGGTACTTGTGTCATGCTGACAGACATCCCTGTAGCCTGGTAAAGACACATAAAGACTATACAGCTCTCTCTGTGATTCACTGTTCTTACAACTAGAAAGTTTTCCCTAATATCTCCCTTGGATTTCCTTTTCTGCAGTTTCAGGCTCTTACTTTGGTAGTCTTTTCCTTTAGCTGAAACGTGATAAAGACAGTGAGGAATTAGCATCTAAGTTACAGGGTGACTCCTCTTTCAGGTGTGTAATGCATGCAGGGAAAAGGAACTATTTAAAGCCAGATAAGCTGTTATTTAAATGATTTCAGGAAAATCCTTGGGTTTTGTGAAGAATGAAACCTCCAGCACAGTTAAATACAAGGGCTGGTGAACACTGCAAGAGCAAGCATCACTTACTGTAAATATTATAGCTTCTAACAGCATGAGATTGTTTGTGTCTTTCATCCCTGCAGATGCACTTTAACTTATTCCATGTTAAAAGGTCAAATTTGCTTCTTTGTTTGCTATTATGTAGATCCTCGCAGTTCTTTTGCAAATGCAACCACCTAAATAATTCATGAGAGCAGAGACACAAGCTGTCAGTGCCACATCCAGGTAAGTCCTAATTCATGACAGCCTTCCCTTCCTTGAAGACCACAAAGGACGTAGCTGTGCAGTGACTGTGCCAAGTTGTGGTGTGTTGCTGGAGGCTTCTTTGACTCTCGGGGTAAATCTGGCAGTTGAAGACAAGAATGGAATAGGCAGAGAAAAAGTATTGATCAAAGGGAATTTTCCCCTTGACATAACCTGGAAAATGGACCTTAGGTGCTAACTTAGGATCAAACCAGGCAGAAATTACACTGGAAGAAAATATTGACAATATATCTAAAAATAGGAAGACTGTGCCTGTTGTACGAGCAAGTTTGGGGATGTCAGGCATAGCAAAAATCAATGCTGTAATAAGAGGTAGAGTGATGGCATATCAGAAGAGGAGCTGTTACTCGCTGCCTCATGTGGAACCTGACAGCATGTATTGGAGTGTCAACTGGTCCTGAAGTTACAGACATTTCTATCTGAAATGACTGTCACTTTGGAGGAAGAGCTTGGCTTCCTCCTCAGCCAGGATGTAAAGGCACCTGGGATTCGCTTGTCCCTAGCACTGCTTTATCTTTGGAGATGCTGTTGTGGCAGAGGGGATTTGCTGGAAATCACTCTTGAAAGCGATGAGCTGCCTGGAGCTGCCTGTTCAAGAGTTTTGGACCCGTCTCCTCGAGCACAATCCAGTGATAGAAATCTGCAAAATGGGAAATTCTGGAGGTCAGTGACAGTATTTGACTCTTTACAGGAGGGCCTGCATGCTCTTCAGCTGGAAGATCTTAACACGCTGAAAGACATCGTATTGCTGGATGAGCTAACTGCCTGACTGGGGCTTATCAGTCTGTCTTTGATTTCTTCCTGTTCTCTCCAGTCTGTGCAGGTCTAACAATAAGGGAATCTGGAACAGCGGTAGGAACAATGTAAACTATTTTTTACCTCCTCTGAATAACAGGGAAAAAGCAATTTCCAAGTGACAGGAGTGATCAGCACAGTTTGATTGCAAACTTAGAGCAGCTGTTACATTAGCTGGGGTTTGCATGCCTCGTGTTTATTTGCATACAGATTTGACAATGTAATTGTCTACTGACAGGAAGAACATTGAAAGGAAATAAGGAAATAAGATAACATTCCTACAGTCTGCTTCTGTATCACAGCCAGAATTTAGAAGCTACCATTCTGCAGCAGAAGTTGAGGTTTTTATTCTACCAAGTGGTACTTGGCCAGTTAGAAGCCTTGGAGCCAGTTTCATTCAGATTTACTGGGGCCTACAAGGATACTGGAGAGGGACTCTCCATCATGGACTGTAGTGACAGGACAAGGGGTGATGGGTTCAGACTGAAACAGGGGAAGTTCAGGTTAAGTATAAGGCAGAAGCTCTTCCCTGTGAGGGTGCTGAGGCGCTGGCACAGGGTGCCCAGAGAAGCTGTGGCTGCCCCATCCCTGGCAGTGTTCAAGGCCAGGTTGGACACAGGGGCTTGGAGCAAGCTGCTCTAGTGGAAGGGGTCCCTGCCCGTGGCAGGGGTTGGAGCTGGAGGAGCTTTGAGGTCCCTTCCAACACAAACCAGGCTGGGATTCTATGATTCTCTCTTGTAATGTAAACCCAAAGTAAACTTGTGGGACTGAGTGAAGGCCAGATCACCTGCAATCCAGCATTTAACAACACTTCACATTTAACAATATGCTTTACATAATAAAAGGTAATCTCCAAGTAAATGAATGTAAGGCATTTGTTGTTAATGTGTTTTATTTAGAAGAGTGTTCCTACTTCTCACATTGCACCAGATGACCCATTCTGCATTGGTACGAAACTCAAAACCAGGCAGGGCTTTGACTTTAAGATGCAGCCCAACTCTGCCAGCACATTTTAATACTGCCTGCAGTGGAATCAGGACTCATGGCAATCACGGCTGCGTTTGAAAGATTTCCTCTCCTTGTCTGCCCTACTTTTCTGTCTCATCATAATTTAAAAGCCTCAGCATCAGGCTGATTTTGGAGACATTCAGCAGCGAAGGAACTGGGTTTGATAGGAAAATGGGCTGGGGAGAGGAAGAAGACGACTGTTTCTCTTGAAACTCTGTCCTGAGTGATGTTTTCTGTTAGAATCAAGGTCAGGGTCAGCTGGTGGGAGTGTGCTACAATTAAAGTAGTGAGAACCACATTTAAAGATGAAGGGGATGCTTTGAACGTGTCTCTTATTGAAAACCACTGACCCATCTGTTCCTTGGCTAACACCCTGACAAGCATTTTGGCCAGTGACATGACAGAGCTGCTAATATGAATCAGCAGAATCTCTGTAGGCAGACAGAGTACTGGAAATGGTTTCTTTTCCTGTGTTTCCAATTCATTTTAAATACCACTCCCATCACACCAGAGACATCAAATAAATGACAGGCAGGAGATGAAAAGAAAAAGTAAAGCCAGACTATGAGTAAGTGTTAATTAAACCAGGATTTGGAATAATCATAGTTCTCCTTTAATATCTGTTGCATATTTAAGACCCATTTTGAGTTGATTTACATAGCTGTTTGTAATGATTTCTAGCAGATATTTCACTGTGCTAGTGTCTGAAATCTGTGATTCTTGTCACTGACTGCACTGCTGCCTTTGATACTCTGAACTCACGTTAACTTGACGTTAACACACGTGTGCTGAAAACGATGGCTTATGACTTGGAAATCAGCGTGTTACACGATACCTGTCTGCTGACAGTCCTGGGAATGAAAGTAACTCCTGTACTCAAAAAGCCATGTTTCCTTTCCTTTGAATTAGCGGTTCCTGTAAGTTGACAGCCTCAACTTTTAGGATAAAGAAACCACATTAATATTTATAGTATTGCTCAGGGGAAAAAGATATAATTGGTTGCTGAGTAGAATTTGATCCCAAATTGGTATGTCCTGTGTGTTTGTGTGTGTTAAACATACAAATGTATGTTCATGTGTACATATAGATATGTAGAGATACAGCTGTAGATATTCTGGACTGCTTTGTATGTATAGATATGTGGGAATGTGTGCGTTTGCCTGTATACACATACCTCCGGGATGCATTCCTATTTATCATCTAAATATTTAATGGAGTTATGCAACTCTACGTAAGTGTAGAAGCCTCCTTTGATCTGAGGTAGTTGCTGCCAGTTGTTGTGATTTATTTTAGAAGGTTTGTGCATATCAAGCTGTGGTAACTCCAGCTTGTTTTTGTTTCATTAGAATGTTTAAGCCCTCAAGATCTGTTAAGCTGGTGTTTTGTTTTGGTTTTCAGGAACTAAATCCCCCTTGAAAGAGCTAATTTAGCCACCGAAGTGGATCATCAGACAGAGCATTAAGACCATAAGTGGTTATAGCAAACAGTAATGTCAAAATCTAGTCACCAGTTTCCCTTACATTTGTCCTGCAGCTTCTGCACAACTTCATCTCACTCGACGCAGCCTGTGAAGGACCAGGTTTGCTTCTTCACTGGCTCCACTGTGGCAGCAGCAGTGATGGGGAAGCCAAGATCATCATCATCCACCAGTGACTCCACACTGGAAGGTGCTGCTTGGAGTTTCCCAGCGAGTGGCTTCTGGTGAGACTTACTCCCCCACCATCAGCACTTCAAGTTGAGAAGGCAAATTACAGTGGTGATAAAGTGTGTTTTCTATAGTTCTTCAGTTTTACAGCTAGTGCTGTGGTTTAACAGCATGGTGGGAGCTAGGGTATAAATATTGGCTTTTTCTTCCCAGAACACATGTACTTTGATAGACTGATTTATTTTAGTAGGATTAGAGTGTGATGTATTCTTTTAAAAAGAAGTGTACTGATGGAACGATTGACTTTCTCCTGTGTAGGGAAGCCTCACAGCACCAGGTCTGGGTTGAACAATGCTCCAATGAGCAGCATCCCACCATGGGCATGTCTGGAGTGAAAAGCTCTACCTAGGTAGGAAAAACCCCTAAAACCCTTACCAAGGTTCAAAAAGGAAGGGAGGCATTAGTACAGCATTCTCATTTTACACAGAGTTTAGCCAGGACAGGAGGAGGAAGCAGCCAGACAAATACAAAACACTGTAAGAGCATTTCCTAATCAAAAAATCTAGGATTTGGGAATAAAATAATGTAAGTTTTCACCAAAAAAATTCTGCCAAGCAGCTCCAAAGCATGTGTTGGGTGGAGTTAGCAGGAATAATGTTCTTAGTGCTGGGAAGACTTGAACTGAAGCATGTGAGGTTCTTGACAGGGGAATTTCTGAGGGTACTTACAAACCCATCTAATATTATCATTTCTGTTTGTGTATTGTTTGGGAAATTGGTGATACCTGAAACATTACAATGGCTCTTTTCTTGCAGAGTAACAGCATTGCACAGAATGAGGTAAGGCCAGAAAAACAAGTTAATGATCTTCAAAGCTGCAGATTATTACATTCACTGTTACCTACCTGGGGTGGCTGAACCCAAGAGTCAAGGTCAGAGATTTTAATTAATATTAGAAACATTAAACTGCACAAAGAACTTATTCTGTAACACAGACTCAGTGCACTGCACCTGAATGACAGGAACCGGGGGCATGAATCCAGTGGGGGTTCTCTCTTCATTAAACAAGCCAGCCACTGGTGGTGGTGGTGAATGCGGAACTCCCAGGCACAGATCCGTAAGAACCCACTGGTTACTCCATCCTGATTTTCTCAATCTAAATGTTAAAAGAACGCTGTGTCTCCAACATACCTGAGATTGTCTTGGTCTTGTTTGCGCAGGTGAAAGGACAGTTTTGGCCCCTTCTCACCTACTCTGGGGTCCTGCTTTGGGCTCTAGTGCAGGCCATTTTTATTATCAAAGGAAATGAAAACACGTTTATTTAGCAAACTGTGGCAGAGAACAGGCTCTCTGTTTCCTGATCGCTGAAACACAAATTTGACCAGGATCCATGTGTCCCTTCTCGTTGCCTTTACCCAGGAATGAGTGACACTAAGGTAAATGCAAGGTAAGTGAAGGTAAATTTAACTCATCCCAGATACCAGCTGTCTCCTGCTTCTGCAGCACACTGGAAATTCGTATCCGGCTAAATTTATCTATTTGTGTAGAAGAAAACAGAAATTGTGATCTCAGCCTCAGCCCAAAAATACTGTCTTGGTTTTTTCCTTAGAAAGCCCTGCATGTGACTGAACTGAAGCTATTTTCCACTCCCTTTTCTGTAAGCCTTCTTCTAGAGATGCCTCTTAAACGGGTGAAGGTCCTCCAATGTAATGACTGCCTTGCTGAAAAGGAAGACTTTCTCCTATTACTTGTGACGGGGATTCAGTTGTCACCCACGAATCACTGTCAGTGCAGTCTTCCCTCTGTGGAGCCCACTTCAGGAGTGTGGCCCTGCTTTCCTTGAAGGATCTAGAGTTTCATTATATTGTTGCAGGCGATTTTTCCTGCCCTTCAGTGCAGGCTTAACTGGATGTGCAAAATGTAAGTGTAATTACAGCTGTGGAGGAAGCTCTGCACAAATAGTTTGGCTATTTAGGGCCATAATTATCCAGATTGCATTCACAGAAATAGTAGCTCTATATACAAATCAGTCCAAATGCTTTCTAAATAGCTTCTTCTAGTCCTCCTAACCTTCTGCATTATAGAGCCACAATGAAAAACATCTTAAATGGCATCCATGGATGCAGCTTGCCTTGCTGTGCAGGAAACAGCAGTAGTGCAGTCTTCTGAGACACACAAAAAGACCAAAGCCTTTTGTCTGTGAAGACCTGAACTTGGAGCAAGTCCTCCGTGACCACAGGAGGCCCCAGTTCGGCTGCAGGTGTGGGGAGGTGGCACAGCACCAGCCAGGTCTGTGGGGAGAGCAGTGGGGTGGGTGTACCTGTGGACACAGGCAAAGGAAGCACTTGGATCCATTCAGTTTTCCTGAACGGATGGAAATGGCAGTTCAGGGTAAGGCACGGTCCACTTCCCTGACGTGAGACATGTCTTGAAATCTTAATTACATCTTCTTGTACACATACACTGAACACTCACCAAAATCAGACTGTTTTCAAAGTCACACCTCAGTATCTCTTTGACAGCACTAGACCAGAGAATATAATTGAAACAGAGTTTCTACCCCAGGACCAATTAAATGGCTTGTCCAGCTCCTTTCCATAAAGCAGCTCACCCCAAAACTAAGGATTATTTTAAAGAGCAAAAAAGATCCAAGAAATTTCAGAATAAATATTGAACACAGTCTGACAGAGCAGACATGAGCTTATCTATGGAAAGCCACAGATGTCCTCCTGGCTCTGCCAACTCTCCCCCAGACATGGATGGAGCCAGTGCTTAATGCAAGGATTTTAATGGCAAAAGAAAACTCTGCAAGGCTTTGGGATGTGATTATGAGACTGGGTTTTGTGACTGTTGTTGGCTGGGGGAAGAGGGGCTGGAAATGACTCTGAAGATAGAATAAAACAAAGGAGACATTAAAAGAAGATGCAAAATAGATGGGGGTGGGAGGTAAAAAAGATTCTTAAAGGAAAAGATTGATCAGAAGGGGGCTGGGGGTGTATGGCTGCAGGTGGGAATATGGGCACACCTCTGTGTTGTATTGTTAAATGACAGACCGGCTTTTAAGACCATGGATGGAAAACTTAAGCTTGGAAGAGGACATTTTGGAGCAGAGCAGTTTCTTCCTTGGTAGTGTTTTACCTCCAACTATGTGTAAAAATGGTGATAAAGAAGTTAAGAGTTGTCATGCAATCTGCTGCTCTGAAATCCTTACTTATTTGCACTGACAGATTGATGGAGCTCCTGTCGGGCTTTATGCAAGAAAGCACACACCATCACAGGAGCTGTCTTCTGTTTGTGTGAACCTTAGCTGTGTTATCAAACAGCAAGCACTAAAAACAGGAGGGAAAGCACACTCCTGACTGGAAGGTTCATCAGTTAAATCACAGTGGAGTGACTCCGACTTGAATCTGTCTGGTTTTCACTGTTTATTTTCTGTGGGCCTTATTCTGATGTGAATTAGCTGATTCCAGCAGCCAGATTTATAATAAGAACAGTGCAATTAGGCGAAGGCCTCTGATAGCCACAGAAGTGTTAAAGCCGTCAGAGAAAGACTAAATGATCCATTATGTTTTGGCAACTGCAAGCTCATTTCCTACCTGCTGTTCATTTTGTGGTCATTATGAACCGATTATTCCAGATAATGTGGGGAACAGTCCATTTATGAGAATCCATCAAGAAGTCATTATTCCACTAGAAGCTGTGTACTGGGTTTTAAGCAGAATTGGAGGGATGGATTCACAAACACCTTGCTTTCTTGAGCCTCTTTTGAGGGGGAGGGAAGAAGGCTGGCACCACACTCTCCAGTCTTGGCTGACCAGTTGTCTTCTCTAAGACACAACAAATGATGGTGAATATACAGCATTTTATACTTACCCCAGGCACAGGTTACAGCAGTGAGGTCAGGAGCCTGAAAGCACCGACACCGGAGAAGCAGCTCAGTTCCTTGACTGCTTGGGCAGTCACAGGTGAGATAGATATATACATTTATCTCTCTATAACATCTCTTATCTAGCATCACATCTATCTGTTCCTAAAATATGCCCCACAGCCTTGCACATGGCAGATACCCATTGTCAGTGCTGCATGCTGGGGGCCTAGCTCTGAAGAGCAGCTGGAGGAAAGCTGACAAGTCTGAATTGCTAAGAAGGAAGGTGAAACCATGCTGCTCCAGCTTGGCATGATTCAGCTGGGTGAGCTGGATTGTCATCTAAATGACAAGGTCACTGGGGAACTAATGCTGCAGTCGTTCTGCTGCTGTGCTACGCTGTAATGTTTTTTGTGACTTGTTGGTTTCTTGTGATCATGAGGGTCAATCTCATGAGACACTATCAGGGAGCAATGTGTGAGAAGTGGCTTGTTGTGTGTATGGGGTGCATGGGACAGAATGTGGGCACCCCCCCTGCTTCCCAGCCAGATTCCCCCTCAAGAGTCTGGATTCCACTTCTTATCACTGCTTATTTATTTCACAAGCAAGTTACCAACCAAACTGTTCCAGATCCGTTTTCTTTCTAGCAAGCTGTAACTCTCATTGACTTTCCCTCTGGAGTCCAGTTGCTTTCTGGAAGTCAAAATATCTCCGGTAACATGGAGGATATCGGTTATGTGGGGGCACTGCGTCGTTTGTTAGCAGTGGCTCCTGTGTGTGGAGTTGACCATTAAAACCTGTGGTTCCAGGCTGAGGTGACAGTACATACAAAGCAGCGGTAGTTACCTTTGCCTCATCTCTTCAGCACAGCCAAAGAGCAAGTGAAGTAGGAAATGTTTGCCTCCGAGCAAAAGCAGACTGAAAGGAGCGTTACGTAAAAAGCTCTGTGGATGAAGGCTCCCACTCCTGTTAGCAGCTGCTTGAAGGCAGCTCAGCACAGTGCTCTCACAGCCAC